GAATTCAGACCGGCCGCTTCCAACGCTGTCCCCCGCCGGGCGTGCAAAGGAGTAGCCCCCGCGGGCGAGAATCCCGGGGCAGACGCGCCTCCTCGGGGCCTCGTGAGGAAGGCAGCGGGCGAGCCCGGCCTTCGGCGGAGGTGGGGGGGGGAGAGGCTCGGGCCAGGCGGGCCCCGCAGGCGCCTCCGCCCACCTTGAGGACGCCTCCGTCGCCCTTGGCGGTGATGTCGAAGCCCTCCGCGGCCGCTGCGGCCGCCGCCTCCGCCGCGCTCATCTCCTCAGCCCCGCGCTCCTCCGCCGTCATGGCGCCGCCGCTGCCGCCGTTCTGAGGGAAGCTCGGCCGCGCGCGCGGGACCAGCAGGCGGCGCGGCAAGGGGGCGGGGACAGGGCGAAAGCTGCGCGCGCAGCAGGGAGAGTGAAAAAGAGGGGGGAGAGGGAGAGTGAGTGAGAGGAGAGAGAGCGGCCCCCGGGAAACCAGGAAACCTCCCGAGCAGGCGGGGGCAAAAAAAGCAAAAGCTGCGCGCGCAGCAAGGAGAGTGAGTGAGAGGAGAGAGAGCGCCCCCCCCAGCCTGTCACGGATGGCCCAGGCGGGCGGCCGATCCGGCGGACTTCGCGAAGCTTCTAGACTCGAGCGCCTCACGGCGCTCAGGCCGAAAAGGAAGGCGGATGTGCGCACGCGCTGCCTGTTTGGCGAGCCGGCGCTTGCTCGCAGGGTTGCCATCTGGCCGTTTTTCCGGCCAAATTCGAGAAAGCTGGCCGTATTTCTATCTGCTTGGCCGTGAAAAAAAATGACGGGAATGAGTGTGGTGTTGACGGAGGAGGAGCCGCCCCTACTCGGGTCACAGGCGGGAAGGGGGCGTGACCGGGCGCCAAGGGCCCGAAGGGGTGTGTGACGGGAGTTGAGAGAGGAAGCGGGCGTGTCGGAGGACTGAGAGGACGCGCTTGTCCTCCTTTTGCTCATGGTGACGCGCATGCGCGAGGGAAGGAGAGCGGCTGGGTTGCCATCTGGCCGATTTCACGGCCAAACAACTAAATTTGGCCGGAGACCAGGACTTGAGGGGAATTCCCCAGGAAAGCTATCAAAGATGCTTCTGATTTGCTGAACGCTCGGTCCTTCAAAGCTATTTGTCCATCAAATGCGTGGACGTCGAAAACGAAAACGAAAACGCAGGGCGGGGCTATTTAAGCTGGAGCCCGCCGTGGCTTAAAGACATTTGAGTGTTGGCGATTCGGGCGTTTGGAATTGATCTGAGAAGAAGAAGAGACATGGAGAACAGGCCGGCGGCAGGCGGAGACGCGGGGCGACAGGAGGAAAGGGGGCGCCTCTCGACACGCTGGCTTCTCCCAGCGATAGACCTAAGGACAACGATAAAGATAACGATAAAGATAACGATAGCGATAGCGATAATGGCAAGTATACCGACACCGATACCGATAAGGCCAACCCTAACCCTAACCCTAACCGAAACGACGACGACCACGACAACGACAACGACCACAACCAAAACCCAAAGTTTTACCACGGAATGGCCTTCTTATGACCTTCCCAGGAGCAGAGGAAATGCAGGAGCCAGATTCACAGAACCGCCATGTCCCGGTGGTGACTCATTGGACGAGCAACGAAACGTCTTCCAGGAAAAGCAAGACAGTCCAGTTGCCTCTGGAAAAAGCCCCTTTGGGACGGCGGAGAACCTCCGTGGAGCACGTTGAACCATGTTCCTAACAGGCAGACATGATATTCTTCTGATTAAAATCGGAATTCCTATTTTTGGGGGAATCGCCTTCCCCCCCTTCTTCTCCTCCTTCCCCTCCCCTCGGAGGCCCCCTGAGTCAGGAGTTGCTACCGCAGGCGTGGCTCCGTGCGGCTCCGTTCCCGCGTTGCCTCGGGAAAGGCAAAAAGGAAGAGCTTTGCAGCGGCAGCAGCGGCACTGGAGGCTCACCGCAGCGGCTCCCGGGTTTCTTCTTCCTCCTCCTGGCACCTTTCGGTCCATGGATACTTAAAGAGAACCTCGACCCCTTGAACGGACAGCTGCAGAGGCGCGCAGAGCCCCAGCCGGACACCTGAGCGGAGCCCGGGCGGTGCAAGCGGAGGCCGCTGAGCCGCAGGAAAAGGGAGCTGGGCAGCCACAGACCAGCCGTCTCTCCGTCTGATGGCCTCGGCCGAATCTCTGCCTCCCAGCGCGCTTGGTCCTCCGCCCGCAGGCTTCCCCGGCCCCTTGCCAAGGGGGCCCCTCGACTGGCCGGCCGGGCTCCTTGGGCAACCCGGCTGCCTCTTGCCGAGAAGCGCGCTGCCAGGCAGGGGCCACGGCGCAGGGCAACACGCCACCGCCCGGCCCTGGCGAGGGAAAGCAGCGGGCGCTTCCCGGCCCAGCTCCGGAGCTGATCCACACCTGACCGGCTGGAAAGGAAGGGTGTGTGGCGTTGGTGTTGTGTGTGCGATTTCTTGGTGCGCGGCGCGGGGTCTCTTTTGGCCGGCCCCGATTTTTTTTTTCAGAGGGGAATATCATGCCTGTAACAGGAAAACGGCAGCGATTCACTTCAACAACCGTGGGAAGAAAAGAATATCACAAATTCATATTCATATTAATAGCCGAAGAACGTGAAGAATAAACAAATCAATACATAAATAAATGTGTGGGTTTTTTTCCTTCTTCATAACTGTAGAAAACTTGTTTAACATATCAAAGAAGGGGCTGCACGCAATCCTGAGCCCCCTGGTTGACTATTTTTTATGATTTTTTTGGAAAAAAAATTTGGCCGTGAGAGAAAATAATTTGGCCGTATTTTGACTTGAGTTTGGCTGCAGAGCCAAGCTGCGGTCTGGCAACCCTGGCCACGCCGGAAGCAGCCGGCGGATGGGCGAGTGGGACGGCTTTGACCCTTTTGGGGGTGGTGGGGGAGAGAAGCCGCGCGATGGCATCGCCCTGCGTTCGGATTCAGCAAAAAAAGGGGGCGTGGTTCCATCTCTTGGGAGGAAGGCTGAGGCCTGCGCTGAGAAAGGAGACTCGCAAAGGAGACCGTTTTGGAGAAAAAGAAAGGAGACCTTTTTGGAGAAAAAGGGGTCTCAGAGTGGGCGCAATAGCCCCCCCCTTTTTTTTTTACATTTGAGAACAAGCCTGACAACTATTTCATATCGATACTATTGACATTCTTATATGGCTTGATATAAATAGAAATTATAAGGTGACCAACTTTTTTACAATTAAAAGGACACAAATAAATGGAAGGGGAAAAAAAACAAAGCCTCTTGCGCGCTGCACACTCAAAACAATCCTGTGTGGAGCGCATATGTCTCATAATCATCGTCATGTCAAAAACAAATACGTCACATCACACACATCGGATCGGCATCGATCAAATACGGAGATTTACAGATTAGTCTTCAAATATCAAAAAGGAGGATATTTAGGAGGACACTTTTTGAGGGAGGACAGAACTTACAAAAGGAGGACTGTCCTCCCTAAAGGAGGGCCGTTGGTCACCTTACAAATTATCAGTCTTTTAAATTATTTTTAATTATATTAATACAAATTATCCATCTTTTGAATTATTCAATATTCATGTGCTGTGCATTTCCCACAGCTTTGGTGTTTGTTTTTATTCTCTTGTGATCCCTTCCTCTCCAAACTCACTGCCCTTTGGGCAAGGGAGGGGATGGGTCAGATCCATTGCTGAGCAGCTCTATGACAGAAAGAGGAGCTACCCAGGATGGTGCATACATGCATTGGTTATGATGCACGCAATGCTCATAAGCTACATCTTCATCATTGTTGTAAGACTAGAGCCGTAGCGACAGCAGTCTTCCACTCAGTGGTGGGATTCAAATATTGTTGCCACCGGTTCCGTAGCCATGGCTTGCTGGGCATGCCAAACGCGCACTTTGCGTAGGTGCACAGGCGTTCTAACTCCCTCCTGCGAGCCTGCGCATGATCCCGGTCGCTTCAACAGCTGCCGCGCGGCACTCTTCTGTGCTGCTCAAAGCAGCTGGGCTTCAAATTCAGCAGATAAAAGCGAGTATGGGAGCCCGGGCAGGTGGGTGGTCCCAACAGCAGAGCAGCGGAGAGTTCGGTCGCTGCTCATCGCTCCTACCGGCTCACCAGAATCGGGCTGAACCGGGCGAATACCACCACTGCTTCCACTATTTGAAGGCATTCTAACTCGCCTCCTGCAAGCCTGCACGATCCCGCTCGCTTCAGCAGCTGCCACAAAGAAGAGGGAGTCAAATCTGTTCTCCAAAGCACCTGAAGGCATGACAAGAAGCAATGGATGGAAACTAAGCATGGAGAGAAGCAACCTAGAATTACAGTAGAACCTCAAGTTGTGATCGTAATCTGTTCCAAGACTACGGTCACAACCCGATTTGGTCATGGCCGGAAGCACAACCATCTGTGCACGTACCTACAGTTCTGCGCATGCACGGAAGGGGAAAACATTGCAGCAAGGAAAATCGCCGCGGCTG